ATATATATATATACACATATATATATAGAAGAAGGTTATAATAATACTGGTGTAACTTTTACCAAGTATTACACCACTCAATAACTTTATATTAATTATGAATTTTGTAAATTCAACCGTTAGATTGAAAGTTCATATCACTTTATACGTGTATATCAAATTTTGTTAAAATTGAACAACAACTTGATGGTAATCAAAGTGTTCATATTTTAGTATATTTTGAAATGAATATATTACGTCAATTTTGTTTTATAAAAATAAAGTATCAAATCATCTTGGATTAATATAAAATTTTGTATATATGATCTAAGAGATATGAACTTTCAATTTAACGGTTGGATTTACAAAATTCATAATTAATATAAACTTATTGAGCGGTGTAACACTTAGTAAAAGTTATATCAGTATTATTATAACCCTTATATATATATATATATATATATATGGCACTAAAATTATGACTTGAAGAAAGAATTGTGATGATTTCACTAATGAGAAAGAGTTATATTTTTTATTTAACTAAAAAGAATATTTTGATATTTTGTTTATTTCTAATACTATAGAAACCTTTATGTATATAAATTAATAGATATTATTATTATGGAATTTAATAACTTAAATTTTTTATAATATTAAAATATATATATTATTAGGAGTGAAAATAATATAATACAATGTGTATATAACTAAAGGTTAAGCTTTAAAACTGAACTATAGGTAATTCCTTAGAATTATTGTTAAAATTAAGGTTAACTATATATTAGTGTTCAAAATGATTTGTACCTTGGGTTTTTTTTCTTGCACAATTTATAACCGTGATTTAGAATCACGGGCCTGAACTATAATTATTGATCATTTGTATTTAGCATTCTAGAATCAGAACGGCCCATTCTGAACCCAGAACGGGTCATTCTGGTTCCAGATGCATTAAAGAAATTTAGCATCACCTATGCATCTACGTGGCATCCACGTGGCCAACAGTTAACTCTGTTTAAGAAATTTGGACGGAAGGTCCGACATTGTAGTAAGTTAAATTATTAGGGACCAAATTGAAACAAAAAATTAAAGTAAGACTAAATTAAAACTTTAAAATATTATAAGGGACCAAGTTAGAGTTTTAACCTAAAATTAATCATTGTCACCATTGTTATCATCACTGACGTTGTCATTAACAACGACAATTGTAGTGATAACAACAACAATAATGATAATGATGTGTCATCACATAAAATAGTAATAATTAACACTACATGAAATAATATTAATAAATATATTATCTAATTTTATGACTCTAAAATTTAACATAAAATTTCATTTGTAAGTTTCTAACATTTAATATATACGTCAAAATATAAAGTAAATGCAGTATTAATATTTAATTAAAATTTTAATAAAATATAGTAATTTCCATCATCAACAATAAATTTATATTTAAAATAAAAAATATTAAATCAATATGGTATAAATTATAAAAACTTAAAGATATAAAAGCATGTAAACTAATTTAAATGATTAAATTATATTTTTATAAGAAAAGTATTAAAAATATTTTATTTTAATATATAAATTTTATAAAATATACATTATTAACATTTTTAAAATTATTTTGAATAATTAGAAAAAAATTAAAAAAATAAATTTATTTAAAAGAAAATTGATTTCAATTTTCATACAACCAGTTCTGAACCGGTTGAACTAATATTTTACCGGTTCAATTCGATATTAAGACCGTCTAATTATGGTTTGTAATTGAATCGAACACCGCTTGATTCTTAATCTTGATCCGACCAATTGAACTAATCAGTTCAATTTTCAAAACAAAAATCAATAAGTAGTTATATGCCAATTAATTATATTGGGTTTATAAAATAAAATCATGGTCTACCAATTATATCTTTTTTACTTATCATTAAATTTTCAAAAGTGGAGTGAAGATTTTACTGTATATAAAGCTTATGCATCAATACTAATAAATTAAAGAGTTTGAGAAAGAAAACGTACATTTATTTCTCAATATTTTGTTTGTTATTCAACAAAAGGAAAACACATTTTCATAATCTTTAATAAAAATAAAAAATGAAAAAAATAAAATAATTTAAAAAAATTATAAAATGTCTTATTAAAAGCATCATTATTTTATTCTAAATTATGCCTTATAATAAAAATAGAAGAAGGATCATTTATTTAATATTCAAATATTACTAATTTAACCTTTAAATTACATATAAAAACTACTAGTTTAATAATACAACCCAAACTATAATCTCATTATTTTTAGGGCTAACTCCAATATCTTAAATAACAGAAATAAAATAGTAGTGATAGTTGGTAGAGACGTTATTTAAAGGGTTTCATAAAGGTGGAGTGGAAGACGTGGTTTGAGGATAAGTTGAAGGGCATGTTCCTTAGGCAAGGCAACTCCTAAGCCTTCAGTCATATCAACCTGAAGAGCATCCTTAGTGCACATGTGAAAGCCTTGAAGCAAGCGAGCCAGAGTCAAGTGCAACACTTGCAACCCAAATGTCATGCCAGGGCATGACCTTCTTCCAAAGCTAAATGGGATTAACTCAAAGTTTTGACTCATAAACTCAATGTCTTGATGAGTGGTGAGGAACCTCTCTGGTTGAAATTCATTAGGATTAGGCCATACTTGTGGGTCCCTTTGCAAGTTCCATAGGTTAATAAGCAAACGTGTTCCCTTTGACACATGGTACCCTGCCACACAACAATCCTCCATCACTTCCCTAATTCCGGTTAAGGGGGCTGGTGGGTACAAACGTAGGGTCTCTTTGATTATGGCATCAAGATAACTTAGCTTTTTTATGTCTGATTCTTCCACCCATCTTTCTTTTCCTACATGCCTGTCCAATTCTTCTTGGGCTTTCTTCAGGACCTTTCCATGGTTTACGAGTAAGGACAATGCCCATGTTAGTGTTATGGCTGTGCTTCCTGACCCAGTGAGAATAAGGAGCTGCACCAAAAATTTCTTCTGTTAAAAAAAATATCATTCTAAAAACATCTAGAACTTTGAGTAGAATGAGTCTGTAACACCCCAGTTTTTATTTCATTTTTTATTTTATTTTATTGAGGGTATTTTTTGGTGATTTTTATAAATATATAAGAGTGATTTAGTAGCTTGGAACGGGCTGTTCCAGAATTGGAACGGGCCGTTCCAAACTACCAAAATGAATGTGAGTTAGTAGCCCAGAACGGGCTGTTCTCAAGTTGGAACAACCCGTTCCGGACTATTAAAACTGCCTTTAATCCTAAATGGGAACGGGCTTGGAACAGACCGTTTCCAAAATATGGCCGCTGTGAGTAATAAATACACACCAGAATGGCCCGTTCTGGTTTGAGAACGACCCGTTCTGGATGTGATTTTTACCCATGTTTTAAGGGTCCAGAACGGGCGTTCCGGATTTGGAACGGGCCGTTCCGGCGAAGCCTGATGCCTATAAATTGAGCTATTTGCCACTCCCAAAAAGCACACCTCTCATTTTCTGATTTCTTTTCTTCTGCTCTCTCTTCTTTCCCTCTACTTTCTACTTCAGACCGAGGGAAACCTAGCGAGGGAGACCAACCAGATCTTGTGTAGGTTCAGTTTCTACATATCAAAATACGGGGGAAAAGGGGATTATTTATATGTAGAGTTACATGAGAGAATAGAGTAGAGGAAGAACCTTTAGAATTATGAGTAATTTTATAATTATTTCTGTTTGGAGAATTATTGATCTTATGTAATTCTGTATGTATTTAGGACTATGAATATATGATTAATTTGTAAAAATGATGCTTTGGAAGAGAGAACAAAATTATAGAAAAGTGCCTGTAAGTTAGGTTTTGGAAAAATTGCATTATTTCTGTTTGAGGAATTAATGATACCATTAGATTCTGTATGTGTTGCAGATTAGGAATATATATTTAATTTGTAAGAATGATGATCCGGGAGGGAGAACGAAATTGTAGAAAAGTGTTTGTGAGTTAGGTTTTGGAACAATTGGGGGTTTTACTGTTTATGTTAAAATTGTATTAAATTGATAATTCTATTGATTATTATATTAACTTATGAATGTTATTGTTACATTACTTGATAAAAATTGATAATTTAGATGTGAATTGTTTGAGGTGTATGAAACCCATTATTTTAGACTTATCTAATGTGTGTATGGAATTGAACTATGAGATGTTGTGTGGAATGTGAATGAGATGTGATTGTGGTTCTTCACACCTATGACCAAGGGTGAGCACGGCCCGAGATTATTACATGGGTATCATGACCTTGGTTAACATGTCAGGGGTGAGCACGACCCTGTGTTAGGGGTAACGTGACCTTGACACAATGTTATATCAAGGGTGAGCACAGCCTTGGATTGTTACATGGGTATCGTGACCTTGAATAACATGTCGGGGGTGAGCACGACCCTGGGCTAGATATGCTACAGGGGAATCGTGACCTTGGCACAGTGTTATATCAGGAGTGAGCACGACCTTGGATTGTTAAATGGGTAATGTGACCTTGACATAGTGTGAAGTGCAAGATTTGTAATGATTGGTGTGATTGAGAATTATGACGTGATGACGATGCATGATTGATTGAAATACAATATGTTGAAATATTTATGAATATTAAGTTATAATGAGATAATATGTTGCGTTTTCTTATGTGCTATATATATAGATGTTTTCTTTTCTCACTGTACGATTTGTGAATGTTTTAGGTGAGGAAGATCGGACTTTGAGTGGCACCTAGAATGCCAACCGTTGAGTTGTGGGTGTGCTATGATATTGTGACAACGGGCCAGAGAAGTCTAGGATAAATTTTTTTATATGTATTTAAAGTTATACCTTTTCTTTTGAAACCAATTTGCAAACTCTCAAGTTTTATTTTCAATTATTATGTTGGTTATTGATAAATAAATATAAAGGTTTTTTTTGTGAACCCTTTTACCAACGTTAAAAATTTTATTCTTTAGTTTATTTAGATGATTAATATCTATATATGTGTTGGGATAGTAAGGATGTCACAGAGTCAAAATAAAAAATAGACAACTTGTTTAATTTAGAAAGAAGTGTATGTCAAAAAGGGTTTTAATATAAGCGCATATTATTGAGCTCTTTGTAATGTGTATGATATGGGTAGCTTATTTGATGAGTTCCTTGCCAAATTAGCTTATTTAGCTTATTTGGATATAAGTTGCAAGTATTTAAAAAAAATTATTAAAAATATATCAATTTTTTAATAGAGAAGTTTATAAAAAGTTCTTATAAACGTGTTTTAAATAAATTCTTTGTGTGTCATCCATCCACTAAATTAATTTAGGTTAAAATATTTTTGTCATTTTTATTTATATTATTTCATTTAATAATCATATTTTTAAAATGTTCAATTTGACGTTCTAATTTTTTAAAAGTTTAATATTGTCATATGGTCTAAATTAATATTAATGACATTAATAAAATTAAATAAAAGGATAATATTGAATAATAAAGTCAGGAGCAGACGAAGACTTTTGTGCATTTCTCCTCATATTAGTGAAGAAGTTTTTCGGAGTGAGACTCACTTATATTCACACATACTTTTCTCGTCTTTTCTATTTTTGAACATATCTCACTTTTTAACTTTCCACCATTTGTTCGCACTTTTCTTCCCACATTACAAAAAAGAAATTATTAAGGAATGACACACATATCCTATAGTGACACAATATTTATCATTATAGACTACTTTTACCTATATTATAGATACAATATATGTATGTATATTGTTAAAAAGTGTTGAAGTATATTATAACGACACACAATATATATTTTTGAATCTTACTCAAAATCAACATTAAAATTATGTGTAACTATTTGTTAAATAAATTTATATTTATTATATTATATGTATAATGACATATTTTACATGTTTTTGATATAACATTTTTGGTAGTCTTTAACTTCCCCTTATAATTAATACTCTCGTCAGACTTATATATAAAAAAAATTACTTAAATTTTTTAAACTAAAATATAAGCAAATTTTATTAAAGTCAATTTAATTCAATGTTCTTAATTCAAAATTATTTCTATAATAATAATGGAAACATTATTGATTAAGGATATTTTAGAAATGTAATATATCTTTTATCAGAAATTGAAAATTTTAAATATATTTAATACATTTTTTTAATTTGTTAAATTAGTTTTATTTAGGTATAGAGGGTGTACGTCATTTTACCTGTTAGGTAAACTGTTGTCATTTGTTGATAAAAGTTGTGGACCTAACGCATTAATTGAACGTCCAGAAAGAATCGTCTAATTTTAACAGGAAAATTATCCTTTAAATAATAATAACAATAATAATAATAATAATAATAATAATAATAATTCATCTGTTTTATTAATTATTTGAATAAAAATGAAAAGGAAACAAAATATCATTTTATTTTTAATTAAAAATAACAATTAAATGAAAATAATATAATTATGTGAAATATTTTCATATTCTTTCATTACAATAAAGAAAAAATAAATTATTTTCTTTTCTCAGTCCCAGAAAAAACCTCTTTCGGAGTCTACATAATGTTTTTAACTATTTCCTCATCTAAATAGTTAAAAGTTTGATAATGTTTTTTTTTTCTTTCTACGACATTTTCTTAATTTATTCTTTAGTTTTTTAACCAAATATTTGTTGCTGTATTTAATCTTGTAATAAATAAATAAATAAATATATATATATATATATAAGCTTTTCTCCCTTAAAAAAATACAAATATGATATTAGTTTTTCTTAAGAGATACAAATTTAAACATTATATTTTTCTTCTTTTTACATTAAAAACTACATTATTTTCCTTTGATAGATTCAAATATATTACATTTTACTAATATTTTTAAATTTTTGGTTAAAATTCTATTAGCTTCCTTTTAGAAAATAATTATTATCAAAAGCATCCTTTACATCATTTTCCTTAAAAAAATATAAATATTGCATCATTATCTCTTTCTGTATTGCTATATACAGTGTCTTCCTATAAAAGAAAATTTTCAAAATACATTACAATGTTAAAAAATGATTTGTTAAATAATTACTGCAATTAACATTTAATGAGCATATGCCAATTATAGAAAACATACCACCGATGTTGCTTTGATAACTATGTTCCGCTTATAGCCACAAATTTCTTCTTGCCCTTGGAAAGTTGATATCATCACATCCATGAAGTCGCTTTCGCAACTACCATTCTCATCCTCACCTCTCTTTCTGACATGTTCTTCCAGCCACTTGTCAAGAATAATGTCCATGTCCTTAGCAGTCCTCTTCATGAAACCTACGTGCCCTTGAAAATCAAACCAACTAAGGGAAGGAATAGCATCAGCTGCCACAAAAACACCACATAGATATGTGGCATCTTTTATGGCCTTCCTTAGCCTCCATGCTTCATTATCTTCTTCATTAATAGTGTTCCCTTCAAATCTCTTCCCAGCAATCATCCTCACAATTATATTGAAGGTTGTGTGCTCCAATAACTTGCTTATAGGAACTACACTTGAACCCTTCCCATTCTTTGCTAACGAGTACAAGTCTTTGACAAGAGAGAATATTTCGGTGTCTCTCACATGCTTTAGCTTTTCAAGCCTGTGTCTTGAGAAAATCTCAAGAGTGGAAATTCTTCTCATTTCACGCCAATAGTCTCCATAAGGAGAAAGGCCAAACACTGCATTGTTGTAACCTATGATTCTCCCTGCAGATGTGTCAGGTCTTGAGGCAAAAACTTTGTCATTTGTTGTGAGACACTCCTTGGCAATTTCCCTGCTATTCACCACTAAGGTGGGGTGGCAACCCAATTTGACAGAAAAAATTGGACCATATTTCTCAGCCATGATTGAAAAGGTTCTAAAATAGGGTATTTTAGCGTTAAGAAGATGGAGGTGACCTATGAGAGGTAAAGCACCACGAGGTTCGGGTACTTTGTTACCCTTTTTGTGTTTAGACCCATTAGGGGACTTAAGCACTGTGTATGCAATTAACAAAGCTAAGATTATTCCTGCAATAGTGTGGACATACGTAGCAGGATCCATGGGGAGGGTTGAGTAACCACAATATTTTTGCACATATATTTATAGGATCTTGCTTTCTCTTGCATTGGTTAATCTCATGATCAAAGGGTCCAATATCAATGAGAATATAATTGATCAGTAGGTCCATGTCTAAAAAAACATTAATAAATAGAAATCAGTTTACAAAATCTCTTTGATAGAGGAAATTACGTTTGTGAAATATAAATCAAAATTAATGAAATACTAAAATAAGAAATTAATTTGTTAGTGTATGTCAGTGTACGTACATGGATATACTTGAGTTGTCCTTTTAACAGAAAATAATTTCATCTATGTATCCAATACTCTTGAGATCACCTCATATACAATGAATATTTTTTTTATTTATTTTATAAATTGTTATCATCACTATTTTAGTTTGTTAAAACATGAGTATGGTATTTAGAATATACCAAATTAAATAAATAAAATATTTAAAATATTTTGTTTATACAATTATCCTTTTTCATTATAGAATTATAAGCTTGTGTGTGAGTATGAGCCACTATCTATGCATGAATTGTCTTTCTAATAGAAAATGAATCACTTTTCTCCATTTTTATGACATTGTATATATTTTAAAATTTAAATTTTAATAATATTGAGTAAATTATATTTTATCATGCAAGTTAAAAAATAACTTGTAATGATGTATTTAAAAATAAATTTGTTGATTTTTAAAAATTATGTTTATTTACCTAATTAATATTATTTATATAAAATATGCTTTTAAATAGATTAATAGGTCATACCAGATTTTAAAAAAGTCAATCCAGACTGATAAAAAAACTATGATAGATAATAAATTAAACTTAAACTTTAATTTTATAAAATAGGTTCAACCTATATATTTAAGGTCTAGCCTAATTTGACCTATTTTCATCCTTATCTAAAATACGCATACTTACTTTATACTCTCTCTTTACATGTGATTAAGTTGTTGGGGGAATTTTCATTAATCTTTTGGGGAATTGTGTATATTAAGTTGTTGGGTTATTGGTGTATATATAATAGAGAGATGGAGGAGAAGAAGAGATTTGATTACTCTACAAATAAATCTTGATAGACTATTATACTCAATTACTTATATTTTACATTAAATTTTAATAATCTAATTTTTAAATAAAAAAATTAATGAATTTATATTAGATAACATGTTAATAATGGTACAATGTTGCTTAATTTTTTAAAATTATTTGTAATAAAAAAATTGAGGAGAAAAATTACAATTATAAAGAACAAAAATAAGTTTAAGCCTTTCATAAAAGACAGATGCGACCTCTGTAAATACATTTAAATACATGGTCATTGTACCAATTCATTCTCAGAAAAAAAAATTGACTTAAATATGATTTAAGTCAGTAAAATAAGTTTGTGTTTTTTTTCTCTATAATTTTTTTAATCATTCTAAAATATGTAATATTTTTTAATTTTTGTAAAATTAATAAATTTTGATTTGATTTTTTTAAAATATCTTTTATTTTTTATTTCTCTAAAATTCAAAATTATATGTTATTTTTAGTCTCTAATAATTATTTTAAAGTAAATAATAACATTTATTTTAAAGAATAAAAATATAGAAATATCATGCATTAATATAATGTGGTTAACAATTATGGATATCACTTACATACTCACCTAATCTATTAATAAACACAAATAGTTAAAAAAAAATATTATATAATAATAAAAATTTAAAATAAAAATTTAAAATTTTTGTGAATAAAAAAAAAGAAAAAAATTACCAAAAAAAATCACAATCTATACTTATTTTTGGAGAATCAAAATATTTAAACCATAAATTCTAAACTCTAAACCTTAAACCCTAAATCCTAACTGATTATCATATTATTTCAAGACGTGCAAGTATTTTAAATGTGTGTTTGCTTTCACTTTTTATCAACTTAAATGTAATTTAGAGAAATAACTATTAATTATTTTTGGTGATGAGAGGGAAATATTAGAAAACGTAGATCACAAACAAGCACTAAATTAGGAAATGCGTCCAAAAGGTGTAAGCGGCACATATAAATGTGGTGTCTCCTAAACCACACAACGGTCTCATTCTGTACCGTCTTGAAAGAATTCTCCCAACAACTAAAAGTTTGACTCTACTAACTTTATGGCCAATAAAAGAAGTTGCACAGTCAACATACTGTATAGACTTGACCATAATCCATTAAACTTTATTTTTTATTATAAGAAAAAAATTAATTTTATGTGTATTAAAATATTAATTAATTGCATTAAATTTTACTAATATCGTAATATTATTTTTAAAGGATAAAATTTAAGTATTATTTCATTAATATACATTTACGTATATTTAATTCTGATCAAAGAATAACACCAAATCACATCTAAAGAATTGTATCTAAATTTTATCTATTTCTAAACTATCATTCTTATAAATAAAAAATTAAAAAATATATAATTGAAAGGTCATGCATTAAATGAGATATTTTTGGAAGAGTATTATTAAATGAGACAAAGTACTTTGCATGTGCATCACACATCTAAGTGGATATAGAAAATTTAACTGAATTTTATACTTGACTTTCAAATTATTTAATTTTTCTTTTTAAAAAAATTTGGCTTAAATATATTTTTACTCTATTAAGTTTAAGGTAAAAATTTTTAGTCTCTCAAATTTAAAACTAATTTTTTAATCATTATAATTTTAAAAAATATTATTTTAGTTCTTATTATACTCAAATTTTGTTAAAAAAAATCTATTAAATATTGTTACATAAAATCTACATAGTAGTATTCCTATGAGTAAAGTATCACATTAAACCTAATTAATGTTCGATAAGTATCTCAATCTATCACTTTTAAATAAGTTATTTATTGGTAACTTAAGAGATTAAAACAAGATTTTTTAAAAGTACGAGAACTAAAAAAAATAATTTTAAATTTAAGAGACTAAAAATAAATTTATCTTAAATTTAAGGGATAAAAAAAATTAAACTTAAAATTTTAGAATAAACCTTATAAGTCATTTATCTTCTTTTATTTACAAGGTAAGTCATTTTATCTAAATCATAACATATGTGAATTATTTGCGTCTTCCTATCTTGTGTTTTTTTTTTATTCAAGTAACATATATCTAATTTCTGAACTGAATAATTTTTTTTGGAATTATTAACATATATTAGTCTTTTTTAAAAATGATATACGTATAATACACACAGTGATAAAAAAAAATTAAAATATATGAAAAAAATAGGATTTACCTCATGTAAAGTAAGAGAATTGTACATTGAAAAATGAAGTATAATAATAACTATCGATTAAAAAATTAATGATTAATATTATAATTAATTAATTTCAAAATTTATTTTAAAAATTTTTAATTTTATCACAAATTTTAATCATTTATGATCAATAATTATAAACATATTTTATGTTCTAAAGTGCATTCCCTCATTTATAAGATTCAAATCTGAAAAGATGATATTTAGTAAAATATCGGTTTGCGTCATATATGTGTTTGGAAAATTATTACTTTATTCTGAAATTAATTTTATGGTGAAAATAATGATTTCAAGAGAAACAAAACTTTATATTTCTTAAGTGTAAAATTATATGTACGAGATTTAAAATAATTTGAAGATTTACTAATATCTTAATGAAAAAACTTTATTTTATTTTTATTATCCAAATAAAATGAATATTATAAATTTATTTTAAATATTTTTAATTCAAATTTAGATTTAATAATACACATTATATTTGTTAAAGTTTTATATTTCAACAATTATATTTGAAGTAATATTATAAAATAGTTGTATTATTTATTTATCTAGTGGACTTTGTTTATGTGATAAATTAATTGAGTGCAAGTGACTATTAAATAAGATGATATAAGCCTAAAATAATAGATGTCAGTGTTGACTCATTAAAAAATAATGAGAATCATTTTATATTAATACACTACAAGGTTGTGGTGAATTTTGTAACATCCATATTTTCTTAATATATAATAAAATAAAGTTATTTAAATAATTTATTTAATTGAATTTATAATATAAAATAAAATAAATTTAATAAATAAAATAAGAGTAATTGGTTGGTTAGATAGGAGTCTTTGAGTTGGATTCTCCAACAAATTTCGAAGTCTTATAAAAATATGAGGAAGAGAGTTAGGTTAGTTTTGTCTGTAAGTTGTAAACCATAGGAGTAAAGAGGAATCCCTAAAGGAGAATCTTGAAAAGCACAAATAGTAGCTATGAAGATAGGGGAGGAGCATATATATGTCTTAGAGATCGTCACCTAAGGTATGAGAAGGAGTGATAATGTCTCATTATGTGCACATATAAGGGATATAGGTAGTGAGGTGACCCCTAAACTTCCTTAGAAATTATAGTTGTATACGATTGATGCAATTTTGTTGATCTGAGATGGGTGTTGTTGCATGTATATGGGAAAGAATTTTGTGATCCATTGTGTGAATTGTATATTTTATTGTATGTTGAATGTTGGAAAGTTAGGGTTACGTAATAATTGGGGGGTTTTGTGCAATTGGAATGATTTTGAGTTATTTGATGGTGATTAAGTGTTGTATATGCGAATTACATGTGTTATATCATATAATTGAGTTTAAAAGACATTAAGATGAATTCAAATGGGTTTGAAGACCATAATTCATGAGGTTCGCGATTCAGCAAAGTGTAAAATATTTGTAGCAACCTCAGGTGCACCTTAATGTAGGTACTTGATGAGTGTGATTATTTGCACTAGACATAGAGAGGGCCATGCCAAGCACAAGAGCCACATATCCTTGACCTCTCTACATTGGGTCAAGAATGTCTCACTTGGTTGATTTGATGTCAATTTTTCAAAGGAATAACGTTGAGCGTGGCCAACATCACCTTAACATGAGAGTAGCTATGTCAAGCGCAAACATGATAGAAAAGTCCCTAACCTCTCTATGTTGGACGCAAGTCTTGCCTCGTTGGATAAATTTTTCCCAAAACATCTTCAAAGAAGTAAAATTTACAAGAAGGTTCCTCATTCTTAATTTTAATCAAAACAACTACAAATGAATAAATTTAGACAAAAATCAACAATCACCAATTAAAAATGATCAATTTACAAATTTCTCTTACCTCGAACCGCTTGGAAATAAGAAAAGGGAAGGAATAACAAAGGCTCCTCAGGAGTTTGTCATACGACACTCTCGACCTTAATTCTCAGCTCACAACCTTAAATTCTTCAATCTAACATTACTACCCAACTATGGGGAAGGGTTTGGACACTTTTACAGAGTTAAAAGGAAAAAAGGAATTCTCTCTAGCCTAGAGCCTATCTCTCTAAATTCTTTATAGTTTTCTTAAGATATGAACTTATGAAGTTTAAATCTTAAGGAAAACTTTAAATATCTTCTACTAAATTTGGTCAACTTGACCTCTACTAAAAACAACTCTAGAACAATCGAACTCTCAAGGGATCCTTGACTCTCAAAGTTCTAAAAGAACAAATAAATACAACATAACATGTAATTAAATAAGGCAATTAAAGCATACAGTATTACAGTGACAACCCTACTTTGCCCCTATAGGACAACCTAACTCTTAAGGGACCCTTGGCCTTCAAATTCCTAAAAGAAAAAATAAATAACATATAGGATGTAATTTTATAATAAAGCATTAAAAGCATGCAGTGTTACAGTTGCAATCCTACATTACCCCTATAGGAGTTGGTCTGGTCTATGCATATACTTCTTCTTTTTTACATATAAGTACGATTCAATTTTTCTTGGATCATTTTCACATTTTCAAATTGCAAACTGAACTGAATTGTGCAATTTAAGAAAATAAAAAATTCTTTTTGTTATTTTCCATCAACTTTTAAGTTTTTGAATCTATTTAGATTTTTTCAACTTTAAATATCCTAGTAAGGATGAGTAAGGAGAGGAAACATTAAGAGAAAGAAAAGGAACAAGATGAAAGGGATACACTAATGAGAGAAAAAGAGAAAGGGTGTGTGTGAAGAAGATAGAAATATAGATTAAATATTTAAAAAAAAAATATAAAAAAAGAGTATAAAGAAGAAAAAATGTACAAAAACAAAGAGCCTGATACTTTTCTTGTATGACACTCTTGATCTTTGTACTAACTTCATATGACAAAGCATAACAATGATTCAAACTATAAATTTGGATATTGGACATTAAATTTATGTTGTTCAAATTGTTGACACAGGTGTTGATGTTAATATAATCTCTTACTTACAATTTAACTTTTCGTTGATATTTAAATTCCCACTAATAAGCATTCAACATAACTATACCTTAAATATAATTGTCTCTTATGAATAGTACATGGGGAATAATACATGCATGCATATATAAGGTATGTTTCTAAGTACAACTTTAGACAAGGAAGTAGTGAAAACTTTTCATATTTAAATTATATAATTAATCCTTATATATTAAATATGAATATTTATATTATATGTGAGAGTTTGTTGAGATTCTATTTTTAAATTTTTATCAAATTTAATTTTATTTATCATAATTATTTATAAATCTAAAATATAATTTATATATTTAAAAATATTTATATACTAATTTTAAATATAATTTATATATTCTAACATAATATTTAATTGATTATAAATTTTAACTATATATAATAAAAATGTTTGTGAATTAAACATGAACTTAAACGTGCATTTTAAAATAATTATCAATAAATAAAAATAATATTGTGCTACAATATATATTATTTATCATAAATTTAAAATATAATTTATATGTTTAAAAATATTTGTTTATATAAATTTTAAATCAATCCTTATATATTAAATATGAATCTCTATCTTGTGCAAAAATATTTTTAAAAATTTTATCTAATTTAATTTTTTATTTACATAATTATTTATGAATTAAATTTTAATATTTTAAATAAATTATCAATAAAAAAGTATTTTGTTACAATATAAATTGTTTATTATTAATTTAAACTATAATTTATATGTTTAAAAGTATCAATTTATATAAATTTTAATTATGATTTATATATTCAAACATAATATTTATTTATATAAATTATTATAAATTGTAGCTACATATAATGAATATTATGTCTGTAAATTGCACAAATTAAAATACTAATATGATTTATATATTCAAACTAATATTTATCAACTCCAATATATTGAATACAGGCTTCTAACTTATTTGAGAACATCTTTAAAAAATTTTCTTCAACAAATTAACTTTTTATCTAATTTGATTTTTATTTGTTATAATTATTTAAAAATTAAATTTTAATATTTTAAAAATAAATTATCAATAAATAAAAATAATATTGTGTTACAATATAAATTATTTATAATAAACCTAAAATATAATTTATATGTTTAAAAGTACCTATTTATACAAATTTGAAATATAATTTATAAATTAAACTAATATTTATTTGTATATGTAATTTATTATAATTTTTAGTAACAAATAATCCACATATATATTAAAATATTAGAACTTATAAAAACTAGCAATAAAAAAGGTTCGGTCCCTGCATAAAAAAAATAAATATTTTTTTTAAAAAAATTATGTGATAGTTATTAGGTTTTTTTACAAAGTAGTTATTAGTTTTTTTACAAAGTAGTTATTATTTTACATACATTCTTTTCCTGTTTTATTGTTAGATATATATTAGTGAAAAAAAATTAGAATACAAATATAAGAGTATAATTATCATTGATAAAATAGGCACCTAAAGAGATATTTTCCTTATATATTGTTATAGATAAACAAAGTACAAGGACATTAAATTTTTCATAATCTATCATTTTATTTCCTTCATTTTAAAAAATTATCAAATTAGAAAACATTCTTTTAGAAATGAAAATTTTACCCTCCCATTCCTTTCACACTAAAATCCAACTCCTAAAGATAACCTGGCATTGCCAATTTGAAATGCTTAATTCAAATACAAAAGCACTAACATACTTTTTTGATACTTCTGTAAAGACATTCTCTTTGGATTAGACTTTTGTAAATAAAAAATTTGTAAATTCGCCGTCTTACAAACAATATTGAACTACATATATTAGTACTCCATCCTAGGTTCGTCATCAACCACCCTTGAACAATAACCTCTTGAATCTCTTGATCATCCACACAGTATTGTTAGACAACATTTCTCTCTATATTTACTTCTTCCCCTTCTTGGCCTGCTTCTTCTCTGTGACATGCATGAAAAGAAATATTAGAAACTTGTTGCATAACTGACTTTGATTGTTGATAATTGCCTTGCTCCTAATCTTATCTGTATTAATCAAATTCAGTTATATCACAACGATTATGTAGACCTGACTTGATCTTCTGAGTTTTAGGGAATTTTTGACTTGAAAATAAAAGAACCAGACAGTATGACGTAATCAACTTTTAAACAGCAAGTTTGATTGAGAATCAAGAATTCAGAACATGCACTCAAGACACATTAACACAGACATAAACTGCATTACATATCTATGCATGTATAGGAGAAAAAGCTGAGGATAGATTAACTACCCAGTTTTCTCTTAGCTTCTGATTTTGCAAAGAATTCCCTCCATTCATCAGTTAGAACAAAAACTGGCTCATCATCCTCTTCCTCACCATCCAGATCTATATGCTCCAGCTCTTGTGAAATCCTGGAAACCATGCAGAAACAAAATATACAGTTATACTTCCCAGGCTAATCATGACTACATAACATCTAGAATCTAATAGTAAGAAACAGGAGACAATGCCACATACCTCTTTTCGGGCAAGAAATAACAATAGAAAATGCAAACTAACCAGGCCAGTTATCTATGAAAGAATAAACTCCTTTTTTTTTAAGAGAGGTGATATATAGTTTGTTTTTGAAAGAAAAATTCTGATTGAAGACACAATAGCTCAATTACAGCATTTATCTACATAACCGTGCACAGATTTGTCTACAATAGCTCCTTTTTGTTCCACTATTTCATTTTGGAATTCTGTTTGGATCCAATCGCAAGGTATGGGGCTTAAGTTCCACATTGGATGTGATTATAGTGTGGAGGTTTATATGGCCTTGCAATTTCTAACTACAATGGTTAGCTTTTCTAGTGTAGCTCCCAAGATTCTTATCAATTAGTATTAGAGATTTTCACCGTGTCTATTAGCTATAACATGTAGCTTGGTTAGCGACACCGACACTGAAGTGATGGCCCGGGACTAGTCAAAAGACTAGTACACACCGACTCTTGGGGCACCAGATTGTAAGATATGAGAACAAAGACTCCCATTGAAACTTATAGGAAACAGGAATAGGGAGATAGAACAAAAGAAAATTGATACTGATTTTATTGTAGGTTCACTCAGAGGATGAATTCTCTTACAAGATGAATGGAAAATAAGTGAAAATGCAATGACACTCCTACTGAGAGAGAATCAAATTCTCTTCTAAGCCCCAAACCAATTTGTTAATTCCTCAATGCCTCCCCATGCAGTTGCTACTGCCCAAATACTCATTCTCTCCTACAGTTTGCATGATTCGGGCACCTCTTTCCTTTTCTTCCACACTGCAACGTGGTGATTCTGTTACTCCCTTACTCATCACCTCTCTCTCTCCTTCCATGCATGACACTTGTCCCCTTCTCCTCTCACTCTCTTAAACCTCGTTTGAGCCCATTTCCTTCACAACCCACATCCATATCCATCTCTTTACCTCTGCTTTGATATACATTTCATATGGGCCTATCAGAAACAATGGGACTAGAGCAGGGTTTAAAAGGACTAGAGCTCTCCAATAGATTTGTGGTGTGGTTCTCCAAGGTTTTTATCATATTCACATCGTATATGGTCCAAATCAGAAATTACACATTTATCAAAACTTGCAATTTCAAAGCTTTGCGCTTTTTATCACTTTTTTTTTTCTTTTTTTCTTTTTTTCAGTTTTCTGAGCTTTTTTCTTCTTTTTTTGAGATAAAAAACTCTGCAGAACTTCAATTTGTTTCAATAAAATCTCTCCTAAAAAGTTGAATTTCAGGATAAATGAATTTTCAAATGATTTGTTTTCTTCTCTAGCTTTGTCCATACAAACTACATAATTGCTCCTTAAATAGCAAGGAACTTCAATTTGATTTTGTAAAATCTATGAATTAACGATTGAATTTCAAAAACAACCCAAAGTATTTTTCAATCCTATATTCACACTGTCCAACCTATCCAAGTGAAAATGCAGGACATCCCGATCTTCTATGTCAGGTACTTTTGATACACATCCTACACCAAATAGTTTCCTTATATAGGCTCTCCAAATTCCTGTTCAGACTAAATTACCAAATTTTCAATTGATTACAAACATCTTCAGTCCTTACGAAATCCCCAATTTAATTGTTATGTCTGTTGTAATACTTTTGGCAATTTTTTGGCAATCAATTCTCTCATTTACTTCTATTTTGAAATACAGATTTTCACATATCCCACCAACAGTCACTATCCCGAATTGCATTTGTGGTTTCCCTGACTGATTCACTTACCTACAGTACATCTACTTCTGAATTCCAATTCTTCCTAGCTATATAGTTTCATGACAAACAGATTTCCATTCAGAGAAAAATGCTTCTTACACTTCTTTATGATAAGTGTTATATGATTCCTTTCATGGTTCGATCTACCTATATGAAGTTACAATATTATTTTAGGGCCAATACTGCCATCCATCAATATCTTGTGCATGGACTCATTTATTCCTCCTTTTCAATATTAAGCTAGCACTTTTACATGAGAATGTTCCTTCTTGTCATTTTCCTTACCATAATAATAGTAATTAATCCTGTAACATTTCTCCATTTCTAGGAACCGGATCTTCCTACTATCTGATCAATCAATTCTAGTTAAACATTTTTCACCCAAAGGAAGATCCCATCAGTCACCATATACAAATGAGACAACAAGCCCAGTTAAGGTTCCCATCATCATGGTTTTCAATTACAACCCCCAAAAACTGCAGCCAGCCACAAAACTGCAGTTTCCGAAGTCTCAGCAACCACAATTGCAGTCCACATATGCCCAAAATTTAAGTAATTGCAATGCAACTGCAACCATAATTTTAAAATTATAGGCGTCACACTGAAACCCTTTTGTTTTCCCTCATATGTCAGATTACACACCAACCCACACAAGTCATTGTTCATGTTTGGTTCACGTTGAAGAAATGATGATGATAATAATAATAATAACAGCAACAACAAAAGATGTTAAAAGTAAAGACTATAGAGAGAAAGAGAAGAATAAAAGAACATACTGAGCATCAGAAGAAATGGGTTGTTCATGAAAGTGGGAATTGGGATGCGTTTGGAGAGGTAAGGGAGCGAAATGAGGGAGAGGAATGAGATATGGTCTGGGGAAGTTATTAGCGTGAAAGTGAGGGTTGTGGAGAGGGCAGTGGTGGCAGTGACGGCGGAGGGGGCAGTGGGAGCAGTGTTGCTGCCGCTGCCGAGTTTCACTCTCATTGTGAGGGCATCGCCTGCAACCTTGTGAACCCATCCCAATTGCACTTCCGCTACAATCTTAGCCCTCATTATTATTATTCTTATTATATATATGCAAGTGTTCATGCTTATGTACACTTGTGTGTTTGATATTGTTTTAGTTATAAGAGTTTTACTTTATTATTATGTAATTAATTTAATGTAAATTTTATTAATATATATTTTTATGTATAAAATTTTAATTTTAATTGGAGAATAATATTAATTGTACTTAAGAAATTGTATATAAATTTAGTCCTTTTATAAATTGGCAGGTTTTATAATGTTGAATTTTTTTATTTTAAAATTGCAAAAGGATTATTAATTATATATATATATATATATAACAAAGCTATATGTACAAATAAAACTATCACGTATTATCATTATTATTATTATCATCATTATCACTATCACAATTGTTGACACTACTATCATCGTTATTATTGTCACAATTACCAATATTATCGTCGTCGTTGTCATCACAACAGTTAATAGTGATGGTAGAGGTTGTCATCACAACAGTTAATAGTGATGGTAGAGACAACGACAATGATAATAGTGTTGGTTGCGTTAACGACGATGGTGATAATGATAATAATGAAAATAACAACAATGTCGACTTGGTGGTAGTAGTGAAAATTATTGCAATGACGATGGTGATGGGAACAATGAAAGAGACAATCACGATAATGGAAATATGGGATATTTTTATTTGTAATTTTTTAATCTCAACCATTTAATTTAATTTAAAGGTTGAACTTGAAATTGATCATTCTCCTTTTCACCTAAAAAAGCCATTTCCATATAATACTTCTATGTCTGTATCAAGGACCAAACTTAGGTATAACACATTTAGTGTTATTCTCCAACTAGAATTGAAGTTTTATCTTGGTAATATAAATAAATATATATCACCAAGGTTTATTAAATATAAATGCTTTTAACCAAGGTAGAACCCTAATTCTGATTCATGAATAATACCAATTGTACCTAAATTTTGTTCCATGTGTCTATATAACATGTATCAAAGAATGTTATCATGCGTTGTTTCTAGTGGTCTTAGTTTTGGCCTTTGAAAAAGGGTGGCTTGTTCATTGCATGGACTTCACTCTTTTATGTTGCTAAAAATAATCTAAAGATCTTAGATAGGCTACTTATGATTTGGGAGGTCAAAGCTATTGTCATCTCTGAAGCTCGTGATCTTAAAACTTTCACTCTAGATGACTTCTAAGAGTCTTTAGTGTTCATTAGGTTCACTTGTTCAAAAGAGACTAGATTAAGTCAATCGATTTTATTGCCCTTAGAATGGGTGAATCTAGCTAGAAGAGGGAAAAAAGGGAAAACTCTAAAGGTACAATATGACCCTAGCAACACAAACGAATAATTAGAAGACTAAATGGACAATGAGATCTCTCTAATGTCAAAAAAGTTTAAAAGCATGTTGAAAAATAAGGGAAGACTCACAAGCTTTTAGAAGAAGAATGACAAGTTCAAGAAACTAGTCAAGGAGGATAACAAAGAGATTATTTGCTTTGAGTAAAAAGATTCTAGACACATGAAGGAAAAATGTCCAAACTTGAGAAAAAGGTGGTCAAATAAGAAGAGAGTGGAGAAAAATTTTGATGGCCATTAGGGAAGATCTAAATAGAATCAATAATAGTAATTTAGATGATGAAAAAACTAACATATGCTTTATAGTAGATACAAATGAAGCCAACATTAGGTAAAACATGTATTTAATACTATAAGTGATTGGTCTGATTGTTCAAATTGTAGTTTTGATAAGGAAAAGATGTCTTATGAGACAGTCTTATCAAATTTTCATATGATCGCTCTTTAATATAATGTTTAAAGAAAAAAAATATGAACATCTTATTCTAGAAAATAAAATAATATGTTCAATAGAATCAAGATCTTCAAAACAAAACCACTTAAGTGGATCAATCTGAACTTGCAAGATTGAAGGCTAAAAGCATTCAACTAAAGGAAAATCCTGTTAAGTTTTTTTGATGGACCTTCAAAATTAAACATGATTTTAAAACATAGAAGATTGTCATATGACAAACGTGGTCTTGGTTTTGAAGGAATGAAAACAAGGTTTTATTCTCCCAAACCTAAGCCACTCTTTTGAAACTTGTGTGTAAAGAATGGACATCGCACTAACAAATATAACCACAAAAGGAAGCAAAAAATGACAAGACTAAGGGGACTAACAAGAAATGGCTCAAAAGGATTTGAGTATCAAAAACTCAAATAATTCCTTTTGCAAATCTCCTTATCGGTAAAATAAAAAAACTCACTAGATACCTGGATAATGATTACTCATGTCACATGAAAAGATAAAGGTTTATGTTCCTAGATCAACAACCATATGAAGAAATAGTCTCCTTTAAAAGAAGTGGCAAAGAAAAGATAAAGGGTGTAGATAAGATTAATAAGGATTCTCTACCCATTTTTTAAAGTGTTTTGTTTATTGATATATTAAGGTATAATATACTTAGTATAAGTCAATTTTATGATAATGGATATATTGTTTTCTTAAACAAGGAATCATGCATAGTCAAACGAAGTGATGAGTTTATATTCTTTACTGTTTCTAGAAAGAATAACTTGTACGAGATCATTTTGAAAGATCTAAACAAAAAAAATGTGACTTGTTTAGTTTCCAGAGAAGATGAAAAGTAGATTTAACATTAAAAAAAAAAACTTGAGCATATCATATCAATTTGAGACATATTTTATAAGAAAAGTTTAGTAAAAAAACTACTTGAGATTTCTTAAAAAACTCATATTCTCCATGAAGTGTGTTAGAAATGGAAACAAATTAAAACTTCATTTAAGGTTGTTTCCACTTTTAGGCCTCTAAAATTGTTGCATATGGATATGCTTGGACCAATTAGAACTATAAGTCTAGGTGGTAAAAAGTATGAATTTGTCATTATAGATGACTATTCTAGATATATACGGGTATGCCTCCTAGCGCACAAACATGAATCTTTTCATATCTTTGAAATATTTTATAAAAGAGTTCAAAATGAAAAAGATTTTTGTATTTTTATTATAAGAAGTGAGATGGGAAAAAATTTGAAAATGCTAAGTTCATAGCCTTTTGTGAAAAGAATGGTATTTTCGTAACTTCTCTTTATCTAGAACACCTCAACAAAATGAAATAGTTGAAACTTGATATGTTTCCATTATTCCTAAAATCAACACATATCCATTTTTGGTAGGAAATCATGAAATTGGGCCAAAATGGTTGTATGTTAATGGATGTTTGTATCTTATGCTACAAATGTTCGTACCTCACCCAAAAAGGCTTAGTAAAATGTGAGATATGAAACAGAGAAAAATTAATTGAAAATTGAGACTCAAACAAAAAGAAAAAAATAATAATGAGACAATGGAAAGAAAGGGTAGGCATCACAATTAGAGATTGATTAGCCTAGATTGAATGCCTCAAGGATTGGCTTCTTTACTAAGTTATAGAGAATTCTTTCAAGAACCTTAGAGAACAAAGTCTCACAAGTAATATTTTTTCTACATAAAATTCTAATCGGCCTTCGATAACTGTTTGGTAGTCTTTTTATGTGGCCATGACCCAAACCACAAGGTATAGTAAAAGTTCAACATGAATCAATCCAATCAACCCAATTACAAACTAAAAATAAAAATAGAAAAGAAATTGGCTTAGAAAAAAAATCTTGAAAAAGAAACAAGAAAATTTTGAGAAAAAAAAATGCCCTATGAAAAGTTCAACACCATTTTCCGATGCTTTTATTTCCATAGACTTTGACTTAAGTTTTTACCCTCTTGGTTACACTAAGTTTGAAATTTTTGTGGTTGAGTTGTTCTTTGTCTTGTCTTGCGCTTCATGTCTTGTTTTTTTTTGGCATTCCACTTTGAGCTTCCTTTCACTGCAAAATATCATATGACATTGTCATTTAAAATTAGTTAAAAAGAAACCAATTTAAAAAAAAAAAAAAAAAGATGTACACAATGACCATTTTGTAAGTAATTTCATCACTTTTAAAATTGATTTTCCTTGAACCAATTTTAAAAACACTTATGGAACTAGTTACAAGCATAATTGATTTCGTAAGTGGCACTTACTAAATCAGGTTTTATAAATCTATTTTGTAGGTATTATATGAAACCGATTTTGTTGGAATCGAATCATAAGCAGCCACAATAAAACATGTTCAATGCTCAACCTCATTCTTTTGTCTCATCTTTGTGTTCTCATTCTTCCCTTCAAACCAAAATCCAAACCCATCATAACTCTTTCACCCCGTTTTGCATCCATTGCACTCATCCACGTTCGACATTGTCATTTTGTCCCATCGCTCCATTACCACCCCATCAATGTTGCTACCAAGAGCACATGAATGAGATAGCGTTCGAGTCATGAAGTCACCTCACAAGCATACATGGAAAGTGGATGAAATTGCATGGGTTCATGAAGAAGGGTGGGAAACAAGGGTAAAGAGAGCAAATCATATTGTTTTGGGTTTGAATGTTTTCTTGAAATCTAGAAACTAAAATTGTTTAGTTTAAACTTTGAGCTTCAATGCTTGTTTGGGTTTTCTTCCACCCCCTCCCCCGTTTTTTCCTAATACTTATTTTTTAATCTTTTTATTCCTAATGTTCTTTATCTTTTGCAGGATCGATGCTTTCTTTTGCCAGAGTGTAGGTTTAAAGCCTTCTTTTGTAGGTGAACAATTTTGATTTAATCAGATTCGCTTCCTAGACTCGTTGGTTGTATCTCTTTTACAGATTTCGTGTGATCGAATTCCTCATGTTGAGTAAAAATTTTATGGTGATGAAGTGGAAGGAGTGGAGAAGGGAGGCATGGAGAGTTTCACTAATCACTATATTTAAAATCGGTTATGAATAACTAATTTTAAAAGTTTACTTTTAAAATTGGTCAAAACACAGATTTTAAAAGTTCACCCTTATATGATTAATTTCATTAAAAACAATTCTACAACTGATTTTAAAAGTCATAAATAATCTATTTTAAAAGTTTATTTTGTATTAGTGTTTTTTTAGTTTTTATTGTTTGTATTTAAAAATTTTTTATTGTCTATGAGTTTTCTCTTTCTTGACTTCTTAAGTTAAGTTAAGATTTGCTACATCTTTCATTTTGAATACAAATTTTTAATTTGCAATTGAGAGTTCTTTTTAAGGGTGAAAGAGGAGATTAGGTGGAAAAAAGACAAGTATGCGCATTATGACAGGAAAAACCTCAAAAGTGTGAAACACAAGTGAATTTTAACGGTAAACACTTATGGTGAGGTCCAATTGAATTTCTATTATTTGCACTTACCTTTTTGTGTAGGTATATATTCTTCATCTTATTACCGAAGTGAGGGAGGTTATAGAAAAAGATTAAGGAGAGAAGAAACCAAAAAGACATAGAAAAGGAGATATGAAGAAGGTAGAGAAGGAGAAAATATTAGAGAGGATGCAATTGAGCGAATGCAATTTAACACACCACCATTTAAAGGAAAAATTGATTTGAAAATTGATAATTGTCAAATATCCATACAATTTTTATTTAATTTAAGCAATTATCAATATATATCTTATGCTTCTAAATCTTGTTTTTGACCACAAAACACTTGGTTAAGATTTAATTTCATTTTAGGATTTAATTTTTTAAATATTAGGTATTTTTAATGTTTTTCTTTGTTGAGATATAATACAAGGAGAAAATAATTAGGAAGTTACAAGTCTCAAAAGAGAAACATTACTCCAAGCCACATAAAAGTAGGGGTGTGCATGGTTTGGTTTTTTAAAAAAACCACACCGAACTGCATTACACCATTTTAATAAAATAAACTGGTTTATAAATTATGTGAACCACTTTAATAAACTATTTTAAAATTGAATTACTTTAAATAAATAAGTTTATAACTGGTTTAAAAATATGTTATTTGCTTTTACTAGTTTATGTGCGAGCCAAGAGGCCGAGAGCCTCAATCGAGAGTCAGAGACACTCAAAGTGAGTGCGAGAGACATAAAGAGCGCGAGACTGCGAGTCCGAGTCCGAGAGAAAAATAGGTTCAGTTTTTAGTGAACCAAACCTTTAAAAAAAATAGGTTCAGTTTTTAAGTTTTATTTTAAAAATTAAATCTGGTTCAATTTTATTATAATTGGTTCTGATTTTTTTTAAAGTGGTTTGGTTTGGTTTTAAATTCAGTTTGGTTCTTTTGGTTTTTTTAAACACCCCTACATAAAAGGATCACTCTAAGTTAGGGAAATTCACTTAGAGCGGTCAATAAGTGAACAAAATTCTCTCAATGCTATAAATAGAGCGCTCTAATAAAGTGAAATAAGAGAGTACACACATGCTCGTCCAAAGCAAGTTATTGGGCGTTCTGAACGAGTACATCAAACATAAAAATCCATCAAAATTGTTATAAAAATAGGATCTTTAAAAAGTCTCTGTATTTTATTCTTAATCATCAATATTATTGTACTCTCAATCAGATACAATTAGTATTTTCTACTTTTTGTTATATATGCATGCTCAATATTGTTGTACTCTCAATCATATACAATTAGTATTTTCTATTTTTTTTTATATATACATGCTCTCTATTTATGTATATAACATCCTTTTTAAGTCTTTGTTCATTTTTTTTTTGTAAAGATAGGAAAGATTACAAAGATGGTCGCAATGAGAATTGAACCTAGGTCTTCATGTTTCTAACTACTCTAACCCCTCCCCACCCAACTACTAGGCTAATCCTAGTGGTTAGTCTTTCGTTCATCTTAAAAGCTTTAAATAAATAAATATTATATATAATATAAAATTTCATTAACAAATTATAATAGTTAATCAGATAACTTGTATAGTTATGTTTCGTATTATACGTCTCACACTAGTTTTACATTTATATAAAGTGAAGAGTCAAATTCTTTCCTTCTAATTCATTAATTATTAAATTTATCCAAAATTAATACAAACGGTGAAAGCTGGCTTTCGACACAACGTTTTCTCTACGTTGGTTATTTTTTATTTACATATAAATTAGACTTGATTAATTTTGTATCATATTTATTGTTAAATAATTGTTTTAAAAATTGTATTTTACTATATTCTTTGGAGAAATTAAAACGATATAATTTACTTTATTTTTACTAGTGGAGTTGAAATATTTTGTGACTATTTTGTACAAAAAATAATGGTATTTTTTTTTTTTTTTTTTTTGCAAAAAAATGGTGACTTCTAGTTACTTACTGTAAAGAATATAAAAAAACCAATTAAAAGAAACTATCAAGTAGTTAATGAAATTTTGATTGGACTAATAACGGTTTAGATTTTTAGATAAAATAAAAAAAAGGTAAAAAAATTCATATAAAAATGAACATTAAAGTTAAAGCAGTTATGAAAAAATATATCTCTATAATAGAATAGAAGAATAGATATTGTGTAACGATTTTCAAATACTTTCATATTTTAAGACACCTTGTTAATATTTCTAATTTCTATTTTTTTTATATCATATTATACTATTTATTATATTTAAGATGATATATATATATATATATATAGATATATAAATAGATAAATAGATATGAGAAAAGATTTATTTACTTTAAGATGAGATTTTTTTATACTTACTTTACTCAATAACTCATTTTACATTGAATTTCAATAATATAATCATTGAATTAAAAAATTTTAATACATAGATCAAGTTTACAAGTTTTAAAAAAATAAAAATTATTTAATACTTCGTTTTATTAATTCAAATCAATATACAAAATACTTTTATGATTATCTATCAGTTTTGAATTAATTAAATAGAATATCAAATAATTTTTAAATTTTGTTAAATAATTGTAGACTTGATCTATATATTAAGATCTCCTAATTTGTTAGATTGTGTAAAATATATGTTATTGAATAAAGTAAATCTAGGCAAACTAAGTGAATCCCTCTTTTATCTATATATATATATCATCTCTCTCTCTCTCTCTCTCTCTCTCTCTCTCTCTATATATATAT